CGCTGACATCGCGCTCTGTCTCCGGATTGTAGAGTTCGTCATCCTGATCCGGCGCTTCGGTCAGCAGATCCTCCAGAACGTTCAGTTCCCCGTCTGAAACAGAACCGAGACACTGAGGATGTCCAAGAGACGCAGAGAGACAGAGACTGGACTCAAAGCCTTTCTCAGGGATGGTGAGGACATGTCCAGACAGGGACATGTCTCCAGCAATAATTCCTGAACCTTTTCTCCTTCATATTCCTGCATCTATCTGGACGTAAATATCGAGTGCTGTCAGTGTCTGGCGGGTTGGACGCCGCGCTGAGTCAGGAATATCAGAGGTCTGGAAAATCACCCAATCAAGCAAAGAATCTGGAGAACAGACACTTTGCTGTGATAAGGGCCACGCTTCACAGCCAGCAAAATGTTTTCAAAGATATGAAGACTTTCAGTTAACATGAACCACCTCTGCACTTTGCTGTGTGACAGAGTGCAGCAGGTGCTTAACTTAGCGAACCAATCACAGCAGGCATTCAGGTGATCACTTATTAATGATCAAAACATGAAAATGAAGGTTCTGGGGTTTTATGCACTTTTTGTCTCAAATGTTTGATGTTCCTGGTGTAATCTGTGCTCTCTGGGTTCATGCATATAATGTTAGCATGTGATGCTGGTTAAAACAGAGAAACCAGACTGTTTATAGATCTGCATTCAGAGAGAATACAGACATCTTTTACACATCCAAGCATTTCTGCTTTAATTTGAGTCTTTAAATACAAATTGGATCATAAATACGGGGCCAATTTTGGCTTCCTGCTCATCCTGCACTGAGTCGTCTGGCTCTGTGGACGTGACTCAATGCACAGTGAAGGCTCCTGTCACTAGCTGCTGCAGCTAACCGGCCAATACAGTAACATATGATCCCTCTGCTCCACAACAGCCCCCAGAAATCCCACTGAACATCTTTTCATGTGACCTGCAGAATCACAGCCGAGACAGAAAAACATATGAAGATAAATTAAAACCTGTCTATTGTTTAATTTTACAGTAAAGAAATATGTTAGCTATTTTAAGAACGCATCATATCTGGTCTGGTGTGTAACAACTTTATGCAGTTCAGCTGTGGAGTGACCAATAAAAATACAAACTTTCACTGACAAGGATTCATTTGGCTCAGTTATTATGCGTTCAATATCATTTTGATTATTATGAGATCTAAAGTTCTGAGCATTTCATAAGATCCTGTAATAAAAGGAAACTGTTACTGTGATCATTCTTCCAGAAAATATTACTGAATTTTGTAACTATTTTGAACTGTAGGCAACCACTGAGCAAATCTAAACCATCAAATAAAATGACTGAAAAGTTCATTTTTTGAACTCTAAAAAATGAATATAGTGATTGTCGTCATGGCGACGGGAGCAGCGAAGCAGAAAGCCAGGCTCAAGTTTCAGGAAACCAGCTGAGACGTCAGAAGGATTCCTGAGGCAACTGATGTTTTAGCACATTTGTATCTTTCTGTATGTTTTATACCTGGTAAAACCTGATTATTTTCAAAATGTACTATTATTGTGAAAGCCTCATCAGGATGCACATCCTAACTTATAAGACTGCATGGCATTTATATTTAAGTTTTGTCCTTAGAAAAATGAAAAGGCCTTCCAGCAGCTGCGGGTGCATCGGGTCTCCGTCTTCCCCACCACCGTCCTGCACAGACTCACAGCCTTGTTGAAAGTCCTGCTGCTCAGCAGCTCAGCTGCGTTTATGAAGTTTATCTCTGTTGTTCTTCAGTTTGTCCAGCAGGAAAACAATATCTGAGTAGTTCATGAAAAACTGACCCACAGCGTTCAGCAAAGAGTCAATGACCCTAACCCTAACCCTAATCTTAAAACAGCGGAGCCTTCTGGCTGATATTGGGGAAAGTATTGATTATCACCGATTTGATCACCTATTCTTTCAGAGTCCATCCTGGAGGCCCGGTTGCATCCTGCATGTTTTATTCTCTCCCTGGTTTTAGTAACAAACTTCTCAGCAAATCAATGTATCCAGATGCATTAAACCAGGGAGAGACTAAAACATGCAGGATGCCACTGGCCCTCAGGGGCCCACAGTGGAGCCCACTGGAAATGACTCAAAATACCCAACTCGGCGTCTGCATGGCTTTGTGGTGGCCAGTCACATTTACCAAACGCCACTCTTCTCACTAGGATGAACAAAGAAAACAACAACACGTGAATTGTTGTTTTCACGTTTATATTAGTTTCTAAACATTAGAAGCTAATATTTTTATTTCAAGTTGCATTATATATTAAGTTGTGTTACCGCGGGGAAATGTCGGGTTAGGTGGTCCATGTCAAGTGATCCCCAGCCTGGAGAAGCTAGATAAACACCGCCTTAGAAAGAGAATCGCCTCTTGAAACGGATCATTTTCTACAGATGAACTGAAGCCGTCAGGAACAAAGACGCCGCCGTGTTGCTAATGCTAATAGCGTCCATTAGCTGCTAGCACCTTTAGCTCCGCTGCTGGTCAGTGATTCTCTTGTGTGCACCGACAGCTGTACATATCAGTTAGAGATATTGTGAATTTCGCGGGTGTTTGGTCAATTTTGATAGATAAATAAATACGTCACAGTGATGCTAATGCTAACAGCTAATGGCCTACCTTTGTCCTCGCGCCGGTCGGCCGCCATGACGCGCTCAGTGACGTTCTCCTGTCTCAAGGGCCGAAAACTGAGATGGACTGACAGGTTTTACTGGAAATAACACAAAACCACCAAGAAGACCAGTTAGACCATCTGGAGGAGTCAAATGGCCAACTGAGTCTGCGGCTGGTGCTGCTGCTTCTTGTTGTGGAGATAATGGCGTAAACAACGAGGTGGCGAATTACCGCCACCTACAGGTGAGGAGGATCAGGACAAGCAAGGCTAACAAAAAAACTTTATTCTCTTTATCAGCCCAGTTACGAATTAAACATGTATTTACATGTCAAATAAGCATTATTTAATATTCAGAATCCATGTATAACCGGCTAATTTTTAGCATCCATCTTTTAGTTTTTATTCTCACAATCTGCTCCCTTTAATTACACAACATCTCCACCAGTTGCGCTAATCCAGTAGTTCCCAAAGATTTCCTTCTGGGCCCCCTATGGATTACAATGAAATCCCCCCAAAAAGAAAAAATATCAACTGGGCATGCAAATTATATAAACCTATACATATATTTAGTTTTCGAACTCCATTGAAGTTTATTTCACACTTCAGGTATCAACAAAACAAACTACAAACCATCTTTACAGTGAAACACTTTTGTGCAACAGTTTCTTTTAGCTCTATACTGTAGAAGAGTATTCTTTGCTGTCAGTGTTATTTCAAACATGTTTCTTTTTATTTGGAACAATATTCAACTTTGCTATCATCAATACATTAAAAAAAAGCTTCTGTGCAAAATGGGGTTAACACATGAACATCTCCCTCAGAGGAAAAGAAATTAAAATAAAGGTTTGTTGTGCAAAATAACTTTAATCCTCCCAGCTTTTCAGTGGCTGGCTGAGCCTGCTCGTTGCTGCAGATCTTCTCAAATCTGGGTTGCAGTTGTAACACAGCAACCCAGTGTTTCAACGTTTAGGGAGCCCCGTCAAAAACCTATCCATTATGCTTAGTCAGGCACTGTTTTGTTTTTTCATTCATCCATACCACTTCCTGCACCCCCATGCAATGGCACTGCGCCCAGTGCAAAGGCACTGTTCACTGACCACTACCTGGTGGTCGGTGAACAGGAGGATGCCGGTCAGACCTGGCAGGCCCAAACGTGTTGTGAGGGTCTGCTGGAACGTCTGGCGAAGTCCCCTGTGAGACGGAGCTTTAAGTCCCATCTCCGGCAGAACTTTGAACACATTCCGGGGGAGGTGGGAAACATAGAGTCTGAGTGGACCATGTTCCGTTCCTCCATTGCCAGGCAGCTTATCGGAGCTGTGGCCGCAAGTTTGTGGCGGCAACCCTCAAACCCCTTGGTGGACACCTTTGGTGAGGGATGCTGTCAGACTGAAGAAGGAGTCCTATCGGGCCTTTATTTCCTGTGGGTCTCCAGAAGCAGCTGATAGGTGAAGCGGCATGCGCCTCTGGTGGTTGCTGAGGCATGGAGAAAGACTTCCGCACAGCTTCGAGGTGATTCTGGTCCACCATCTGGCGTCTCAGGAGGGGGAAGCAGTGCAGTACCAACACTGTTTATAGTGGTGGTGATCTGCTGCTGACCTCGACTCGGGTTGTTGTGGGCAGAATACTTCGAAGACCTCCTCAGTCCCGCCAACATGCCTTCCATTGAGGAAGCTGAGCCTGGGGACTCTGTCGGGCTCCAATCTCTAGGGACAAGGTCATTGAGGTGATTATAAAGCTCCTTGGTGGCACGTGGATGAGATTCATCCTGGGTTCCTTAAGATTCTGGATGTTGTAGGGTTGTGTTGACTGACACGACTCTGCAAAATTGATTGGACATCGGGGGCTGTTCTGCTGAATTGGCAGACTGCTGTGGTAACAGGTTTTAACACATATTTCCTCCAGATACAGTTGGTATTTTGCAACGCTTAATGCAACTCTACAAAGGTGTGTTGATGCTAGCAGAGTAATTATTAAATTATTAATTTAATAAATTATAAATTTACAAAATTAATAATTTAATAAATTTATTTTTTTAAACAAAATTTTGAATACAATTTAATTTTTTTCACTTGAGATTAATTTTTCTTTATTTAACAATTGTGAAACAAATTTACCTCCATAAGTTTTAGGCACTTTACAAGGTAGGAATTAAAATGAAAACTCAATAACACCAATAAATAACTCCTTTATAGAAAAAAATGTATTTATTTATAAAGTTAAATATAACTAAGACATTTAAAAAAAATTTCACCTCAATTTTTTAGGGCTAGCAAAGAAGACCCTGCTGACAGCCCTCCGCTGTGCAAAGCTCACAAAAGTTTCTGGTGCAATACCAATCCCCGCCAGAAGATGGCAGTAGTAGCACATAAGCATTTCACAGAAGAAGCTCAGTGTGCGCGTTAACAGTGAAGTTAACGTCGCAGTGAAGCCATTCCTGAAGAAACCGATTTCTGCTTCCACAGGTGCGTTAAGTGCTCAGTAATGTACAGGTAACATTGTTAGAAGTTTGTAGGTTGAGGACAGTGTTTTATTGGAATATATTCTATTTCGAGATTTTTCTGGTAGTAGAAGTGACGGTTAACGGCCTCTAGCTTAAATGCTAATTACCGTTCGTGTGGCCATTAACTGCCATTAGTCGAAATGCTGCCGACTATTAGCTTCCTTTTAGAAAAGGTTAGGCAGTTTTACGGTTGTTTTCTGTTTGATTTTCGGTGGTATCTTGTATCTTAGATTTATTTAAGCATTGGAGCATTTTTTTCTATTCGCAATGTGACGCTTCTGATTATTTTCAGTGGTAATTAACCCGTTAATCCCAAATCTTTCCTTGCAAAATACGTGCACGCATTTCAAACCTTAAACCAGGGCCGTGCAGAGACCTTTTGGGGGGCGGGGGTTCAAAGTTAAAAAGGGGAACCTTGAACAAGATCTTAAAAGGATCCAGATTTAGTTGAACATGTTGCCTATTTGTGTTCAACTCTGTTGCAATTTTCCTGTTACTTAAAAAATTGCAGTTTTTGATACGCTGAAACTCATAATTACTTTAAAAAAGTATGTTTTGTTATATTTTTCATCCATGGTGATCTGCATTTTTTCACAATGGGTTGATGACGTCATCAGGTCCATTCTGTACTGGAGTCACCAAAGTAAACACAGGAAGGATAACTTTACCCCAGTAGTTGTTTATCTTTGACTGGTCTCATTTTAGATAATGCCACACTGTGGCACTGTTGGCTATGCTAAAAAAAAAAGAAATAATAAATAAAAGGAGCAAATCTGGATAATTTTGTACATGAGAGAAAGGAGAGCGCAGTGTGAGAGCCGGAGTGGAACACATGAAGGACCAAATCTGGACCTGGACATTTCTCCACAACCCGTTGAGTCATTTATACCAGCCGAACCAATGAAGGCGATCAATACCTTAACAAGCTAAAACTAAATGATGTGCAGCCGCTGAGACAGGCAGAGCTGGATGCTCTTGGAGATGCTAACAGGAGCTACTGCCCGGGTGTCACCGATCCAACCGGGTCCATGGAGGTCCAGTGTCTGTTACCACCATTCTGGACTCTACACACTGTTGCCAAACCGGTCACAGCGATACAGATGCTGGAAGAAACGTCAAAAACAAGCAGCACTAACAGAGCTATTACTACTGAAAATGCTAACGAAGTTATCACTACTGTAAATGCTACTGGAGCTATAGAGCTTTGGAGCTGACATCACGTCACACGCAGGTGGCCATTGTTTTGCCACATACCAAAACAAACTTTCTCTGGTGTTTTTTTGCGTTATCCTCCTCTTCCATAATGCTGAAAAGCAGTTTGAAAGACAGAGGGTCATATCGCGAAAAGCTTCTCCCAGAAGCTCTGACTTCCGCCTCTGAGTTGTTGACCAAAGGAAAGTGTTAGCAGCATAGTCCACTCTTCAAGTTCGGCCAGAGGGGATTTTATTGATTGATGATAATATCCAGGTTTTCATCATTTTGGGGACCAATAAGCGTCCTTAAAATGAAGGGCGCGATGCTTGCAGTCCAGCAGCTTTTCTTCTTTAGAGCTGCAGGTTCAGAGCTGCAGGTGTGTTGATACAGGTAGAGGACAGACTGAACACGCCAAGCGGCTGATGGTTACAGTGTAGCTTTACAGACAAACCGCACAATTAATTTGAAATCATCCCGGTCTGAACAAATGGGAGGCGGAGCATCGTGGTGGTTCATGGCTGGTAGAGGAGTTTCTGAGTGTGACGAACGAAGGTGCTGTAAATATCCTGTATTGCTCCCCAGTTCATACATTCGTCCCCTGGTCTATTTCCTCTCCTAACTCTCATCTTACGTTCATTCGTTCTCCTCCTCTCCTGCAGCATTGGAGCTGCTGCGCATCATGAAGCGGATCGCGCTGCTGCTGGTTCTGATCTGGGCCGCTCCTGCCGCTCGCTGCTACCCCTCAGGCTTGGTGTCGGAGAGCTGCGCGGACATGACCCCCAACCACCACGCCGCTCCCCAGACCGCCGCCGCGCCGTTCACCGTGGGAGCGGAGCGGAGCGGCCCCGCGCATGGAGGACAGGTCAAAGGTCAGTCGCCGAGCCTTCAAAGGTAGAAAACACTTGACTGGTCCTCTAGACAAAATGTCATAAAGGTTTTTGTTCGTTTTCTACAAACAGAAACCTGTCTGTCCACTGGTAACCAGCTTCTCCCCCACCCCAGTAGTGACTCAGCAGTATTCTGCCTTTCAAAATAAAACTCAGACACGGTTCGCTTGTTTCTCAATTATCTTATATTTCTCGGTGTGCAGCAGGAAGTGGTCCGTCACTGATCTTCCTCCTGCCTCTGGTTGCTGTGGGTTCTGTTCCACAGAACCAGAACCTCCCATCATGGAACAGCAGGATCTTTACTGGGGGGGTTCTGGTCCCAGTCTGACAGCCTTCCTGTTCTCCAGTCTCTCTCCAGGGTCCGAGTTCCGGTCCATTTATCGGGTTCCTGCTGGAGGCCAGAGAGCCGGGAGGCCGGTCTGCTGTGGGCTCGTTTCTACTGGGTTCTGGTCCGGCCCGGCTCCTCGCTTGCTTCCAGAAACCCGTGAGTGCTCCACCCACCTGCACTGAAATGCATGACTGAACCTGGAACCTGATGGTACCAAAAACGGAGTGACCTGGGTCCAGAACCAGGGTCCAGAACCAGATCACTCTGCAGAAACTCCAGGAATCACCAGAATCAGAGACCTCTAATGTTTGTGTCCTCAGAACTCTGCCGTCTCCCACTCCTCTGGTTCTCCAAAGAGCAACATCCAGGTGACTTGGCAGCCGGACCGAGACAGAACCGTTGGAGCGGTCCAGTTCCAGTGAGGCTCAGATGGGTCCTTCCAGGTTCTGCTGCGGTTCTGCAGCTCAGTCTGGACCTCAGGTGCTTCTCTCTTCTCGTTCCTGCAGAGCCTCCTTTGTTCAAAGCTACAGAACTTTCTGGGTCGGAGTGAAAAGTCCGGTTCTGAGTCTGAATGGAAGCCGGGCCGCGGATACCGGCACCCCGCCTCCCGGCACCCCGCCTCCCGGCACCCCGCCTCCCGGCACCCCGCCTCCCGGCACCCCGCCTCCCGGGTTTGCTGTGAGTGACCGTCGTTCAACTGGAGTCTGGATTTAGTTTCTGATTCCAACCACAGAACCTTCCCAGTCACACAGGAGGAACCGGGCTGTTTGGGTCTGAGAGGCACCAGAACACTTAGTCCGTTTGACCCGTAAAACTAAAACCAGAACTTTCAGATCAGCTGCAGCTCGAGAAACATCTGAAGCTCAGCAGGATCAGAATCAAGATCAGAATCAGTTCTAGCCTTTGGGTCTGAATAAAAACACTTTCTGTATTTTCTTTTGGCTTAGAGGTTATGTCAAGGTCAGGGTCAAGGTCAGGGTCAAGGTCAGGGTCACCCAGTGGAACCTGCTCAGATTTAGTCTAAATCCCATCATGTCTAAGTGCATCTCGGCTGAATCTGTTATTGCTTCTATCGCATTATAACTGCAGATTGCTGTGATTAAAGGCAGGTTCCACCAGCTGCTGCTAGTTTGTAGGGATTTCATCTTATGGTAATTGTTCTGCTCAGGGTGTCTCACTGAGATTGTGACAAAATGTTGTAATCTTTATGTAAATTGAGTTATTTTTCATGTTGTGGACTTGAATATGCACATATGGATGATTGAGTTTTTCTTTTAGATATCTCTGAGTTTAACCTCTTCTTTTCCTTTTGGCTTTTTCCCTTCAAAGGTTCCCACAGCGAGTCGTCCGTCTCCATGTAACCCTGTCTTCCGACTACATTCATGTCTCTCCTAAAGACAAGCTCAACATCTTCATCACTGCCACCGTGTCGCTCACCTTTCCTTTCATTCTCACTAAAACTTTCACATCTTGGACCCGTTTCTGTTGAGCCGAGGTTCTTCAAATCTTTCACTATCTTTATTTCTGTTCCCTGTAACCTCTTGTCTCCACTTCATTATGCATTGTGTCTTTCTACAGCCTTCATTCCTCCACTTGTTCTCTGCTCTCACCACAGATCACAATGTCATCTGCAAACATGAATATGAAGATTCATGTCATCAACTTGTCCATCCCCACAGAAACAGGAAAGGCTCAGAGCCCATCCTTAGTGAAGTCCCACTTCCACCTTGAACTGCTCTGTCCCTCCTGCAGCACACCTCACCACAGTCTGACATCCATGTCCTTCACCACTGTGACATGTTTCTCTGTTTGTCCAGACTTCCTCATGCAGAACCACAGCGCCTCTTTAGGAATCATGTCATACGCTTCCTCTAGATCTACAGAAACACAGAGCATCTCCTCTCATATTCTCTGGACCTTTCTATCAACATCCACAATGCAGTGATTGCATCTTTAGAACATTTTCTTGAATGTTTATGAAACCATAGTGCTGTTCACTTCTGACCTCAGTCTGGCTTCAACAACTTGTTCCTTTATCTTCATTGAATGAGTCATAACTTTATTCCTCTGTAATTGCCACAATTTTGGACATCTCCCTTATTCTTGAAAATTATTACCAGCAAACTTCTCCTCCATTCCTCAGGCATCTTGTCCCTCGAGAATCTCATTGAACAGCTTTGTCAAAAACTCTTCTGCTGGCTCTGATAGACACTTTCATTCCTCCACAGGTTTGTCATCTGGACCGACTGCCTTTAACTCTTGATCCTTACTAATCGCTGCTACTTCCTGATCCACAGGAAATAGATTAGCTTAAAGGCAAGTGACTCGTTATTACAGACTGCCGGCAAAACTGAGTGTCAAGCCAAATAAACCGAGTCACATCTACAGTTAAACAGGAAGTCTCATGTTCTACTTCCTGTTTCCTGGAACAGGACACAGGAAGCAAACAAGATACACCATCTTGAAAATAACTAAGAACCCAACCTGACTAGGTCAGAACCAGTTCCTTCCTTTGGGTCAGAACCAGTTCCTTCCTTTGGGTCAGAACCAGTTCTTTCCTTTGGGTTAGAACCAGTTCCTTCCTTTGGGTCAGAACCAGTTCCTTCCTTTGGGTCAGAACCAGTTCTTTCCTTTGGGTCAGAACCAGTTCCTTCCTTTGGGTCAGAACCAGTTCTTTCCTTTGGGTTAGAACCAGTTCTTTCCTTGGGTCAGAACCAGTTCTTTCCTTTGGGTCAGAACCAGTTCCTTCCTTTGGGTCAGAACCAGTTCTTTCCTTTGGGTCAGAACCAGTTCCTTCCTTTGGGTCAGAACCAGTTCTTTCCTTTGGGTCAGAACCAGTTCCTTCCTTTGGGTCAGAACCAGTTCTTTCCTTGAGTCAGAACCAGTTCTTTCCTTGGGTCAGAACCAGTTCTTTCCTTTGGGTCAGAAACAGTTCCTTCCTTTGGGTCAGAACCAGTTCCATCTTTGGGTTAGAACCAGTTCTTTCCTTGAGTCAGAACCAGTTCCTTCCTTTGGGTCAGAACCAGTTCCTTCCTTTGGGTCAGAACCAGTTCTTTCCTTTGGGTCAGAACCAGTTCCTTCCTTTGGGTCAGAACCAGTTCCTTCCTTTGGGTCAGAACCAGTTCTTTCCTTTGGGTCAGAACCAGTTCCTTCCTTTGGGTCAGAACCAGTTCCTTCCTTTGGGTCAGAACCAGTTCTTTCCTTGAGTCAGAACCAGTTCTTTCCTTGGGTCAGAACCAGTTCCTTCCTTTGGGTCAGAACCAGTTCCTTCCTTTGGGTCAGAACCAGTTCTTTCCTTTGGGTCAGAACCAGTTCCTTCCTTTGGGTCAGAACCAGTTCTTTCCTTTGGGTCAGAACCAGTTCTTTCCTTTGGGTCAGAACCAGTTCCTTCCTTTGGGTCAGAACCAGTTCCTTCCTTTGGGTCAGAACTAGTTCTTTCCTTGAGTCAGAACCAGTTCTTTCCTTGGGTCAGAACCAGTTCTTTCCTTTGGGTCAGAACCAGTTCCTTCCTTTGGGTCAGAACCAGTTCTTTCCTTTGGGTCAGAACCAGTTCCTTCCTTTGGGTCAGAACCAGTTCCTTCCTTTGGGTCAGAACCAGTTCTTTCCTTGGGTCAGAACCAGTTCTTTCCTTGGGTCAGAACCAGTTCTTTCCTTGGGTCAGAACCAGTTCCTTCCTTTGGGTCAGAACCAGTTCCTTCCTTTGGGTCAGAACCAGTTCTTTCCTTGGGTCAGAACCAGTTCTTTCCTCTGGGTCAGAACCAGTTCTTTCCTTTGGGTCAGAACCAGTTCCTTCCTTTGGGTCAGAACCAGTTCTTTCCTTGAGTCAGAACCAGTTCCTTCCTTGGGTCAGAACCAGTTCCTTCCTTTGGGTCAGAACCAGTTCCTTCCTTTGGGTCAGAACCAGTTCCTTTGGGTCAGAACCAGTTCTTTCCTTGGGTCAGAACCAGTTCCTTCCTTTGGGTCAGAACCAGTTCCTTCCTTTGGGTCAGAACCAGTTCCTTCCTTTGGGTCAGAACCAGTTCTTTCCTTTGGGTCAGAACCAGTTCCTTCCTTTGGGTCAGAACCAGTTCTTTCCTTGGGTCAGAACCAGTTCCTTCCTTTGGGTCAGAACCAGTTCCTTCCTTTGGGTCAGAACCAGTTCCTTCCTTTGGGTCAGAACCAGTTCTTTCCTTGGGTCAGAACCAGTTCTTTCCTTTGGGTCAGAACCAGTTCCTTCCTTTGAGTCAGAACCAGTTCCTTCCTTTGGGTCAGAACCAGTTCTTTCCTTTGGGTCAGAACCAGTTCTTTCCTTGGGTCAGAACCAGTTCCTTCCTTTGGGTCAGAACCAGTTCTTTCCTTTGGGTCAGAACCAGTTCTTTCCTTTGGGTCAGAACCAGTTCCTTCCTTTGGGTCAGAACCAGTTCCTTCCTTTGGGTCAGAACCAGTTCTTTCCTTTGGGTCAGAACCAGTTCCTTCCTTTGGGTCAGAACCAGTTCCTTCCTTTGGGTCAGAACCAGTTCCCTCCACTGCCCAGGATCCTCTGATGATTGGTCCGCTGTCTCCCTGCAGTCCATCTCTAATGTCGGCTGCGGTTCCACCAAGCTGTGCTTCAGCCAGCCCCCAAAATGTAATCCGGCCATCAGCTCCAAATGCTTCTTCATGTCAGCCAGGCTTCTGACTCCGCCCAAATCCGGGGTCCGGTACGAGCTGTGCGGACCTGCTGAAGGATACATAGCTTTTGGGTGGTCAGATGATCGGAAGATGGTGAGGAGAACCAAATCAGATGTTGGTTATCAACACCTTTTCAGTGCTGCAGTGTCTGAGAAGGTCCAAGCAGACGGTTCAGTTTCTGCTCTTGTCTCCCATCCTCAGGGTAACGATGACATCTACCTCTGTGCCTGAGCAGCGCTGGAATTGCTGATGTGCAGCGGGCCTTCTCTGTTGGACGGAAAGCTCCGGTGATTCAATCTAAGGTACTTCATCCCCACCAGAACGTCCTGGTTGAGGAGCGTCCAGAGGTTGGTTCCTGACCTCAGATGATGACCAGTGAATGTCTCTGGCAGGGACATGTCTCAGATATACAGATCTCCAACCAGAACAAGGTCCTGGCCTGCACATTCACCTCCAAGAACGCCATCTTCACTTCCAGGAGCTCCAACTTCAGCTCTGACAAATTCTTCCACCTCCTGCTGGCCTATGGACCCAGCACCAATGGTAGGTAGGAAGACCCGGACTCTGCAGATCCTTGTCAGAATCACCTTTTAGCAACTCCTCAGGGAACTGTCCTCATTGGAGGCTCTGCTGTGCCCAACAGGGAACATCATGAAGCACCGGAAAACTTACAGCAGCCCCCAAAAGATGTCTCTGTCATCTCCTGGTACGATCCATAGTGGAAAGGATCAGATGATCAGAGCCCATGGTGAGTCCTCCTCAGGTCCTCCTCAGGTCCTCCTCAGGTCCTCCTCAGGTCCTCCTCAGGTCCTCCTCAGGTCCTCCGGATTCCTTTCAGTCAGGGATCTCGTTCTTTAAGTCATGACCCAAAAGTCCTGATCATAGATGAGAGTTGGAACGTAGATCGGCCGGTAAGTAAATCAAGACCTTCGCTCTTGATTTTTAAAGGTCATCAAGGGTCAATTAGCCCCCCACCTTTTTTAAATCAGATGAAATTGGTGTCAATCAACTCGACTACGTTTATGCATTTTCTGAACAGATGTAGTCAAGTCGATTGACACCCATTTTACCTGATTTGAAGAAGGTGGGGGAGCTGGTTGACCTTTGATGACCTCTATAAACTATTAATAATGTTATTAATAATAGTTTGCAGTTCTATCATTTGTAATGATAGCACCATAAATGGACAAATTTTCCTGCACAAACCAGCACAAACAGAGCACAGTTGATTGACAACAAATCTATTTAATTTTGCAAATGTGAGCAGGGCCAGGGGAGTGGTTGACCTCTGATGACTCCTGGAGAATATTTTTCTTCATATCTTTAGAATGATAGCAACACAAACAAAAAATGTTCTGCACAAACCAGCACAAATGTTTGACACTAATTTTGTCTGATTTGAAGAAGGTGGGGGAGCAACTTCACTCAGGTTACGAACCGAACGAAGGAACATAAAGGATGTAAAAAAAAAAGCCTGAAATGAATTCAGGTTTTGTGCTCATTTCCCGAATCCAATCTTACATCTTGTACACTGAGGTGGGGAGGGTGAAAAAATCCAACACTAAAAGAATTTGACCCATTCTTTTTGTCACAATTCTTCAGGCATTTGCTACAAAAAGAAGAAAAATTGAAGGCAAAGTTTAAAAGAATATTCAGGACTTTCTGCAGACTTGGTCATATTTCAGCTTCAGTGAAATGAAGACTTACATCATCCACCAAAGCCATGTATCTTTAACTTTCTAATGAAGGTTAAAGCCAGAGTCAAAACAAACTGTACTCCAATCAGTAATTTCTTACGTCTCCCACTGGGACATACCTCTTCCTGTTGTTCGTTCATGTTGTAACGCTTTTGTAATTTGTAAATTGTGCTTTCAATTTGCTGAAGTGGTTTCACCGCAGGGCCACCGTAGTATAGAGCTTTGGAACCAACGTCACTGCGTGGGACGTTTATGTCTCGCACAGTCGCTTGGCTCCATCTTTCAAGGCCACAGACCAAAACAAACTTTATTCCGGCGTTTTCATGGCGTTACCGACTGCAGGAAAGTTGTTTTCAAGTTGTATATTGGATATCCACGCTCCATGGAGTAAGGGTCGTTAAGCTCAAGGTTGATATCCAAGCTGGAACCAGCTAGTGCCAGGTACTGCTCAGTGAACAGCTCCACACCTCTTTACCCGAGTGTCCAAGATACGCAGCCACAGATCCAACGAGACGATGACAAAGTCGATCATTGAACTGCAGCCTCAGGTGTCCTGGAGCCAAGTGAACGTACGTACAACCTTATGTCTGAACATGGTGTTTGTTATGGACAATCCGTGACGAGCACAGAAGTCCAACAACAGAACACTCGCTGTGGTTCAGATCCTCCCATCCACACTCCTCCAGGTCTCACTGTCATTACCCATGTGAGCGTCGAAGTCTCCCAGCAGAACAAGGAAGTTCCCAGGAGGGGCACTTTCCGATACCCCCTCCAATGACTGGCTGGGTAATTTGAACTTCAGTTTGGCACATGAGCACAGTCAGAACTTCCCCCCACATGCAGTTGAAGGGAGGCGTCACTCCTATTCTCTGAGATGAACCCGCTACATGCAGGCATCAAGACGAGGGGCAACAAGTATGCCCACTCCTGACTGGTGCCTCTCATCTGGGGCAACTCCAGAGTGAAAGAGTATTTGACCCCAGGTTCCAGAGTGAATCTGGTGATTTCTAGTCAGAACTTCTCAACCTTACACGCCAGCTCAGGCTCCTTCCACACCAAAGGCCCGACAGCCATCTTGTGTAGCCGAGGATCAGACCGCCAAGCTACCCGCCTTCAGCCACCACCTACAGATGGAGGTGAGCAGCTGGCGCTCGCCAGCGTGTCCTAACGTCAGCCTAGGCCAGCAAGCCAGAACCCAAAGTAGAACCAGTCATCGTCAAACATTTCCATTGTCTTAATGGAATTAAAATTCACACCAGTGAAGTTCAGACGTTTCTTCAAAAATATTTATCTGGAAAAAATGAAATTCTAATTCACCTTTTCCTCAAGTTTTTAAATGTGAAGTACTTTCTGTACATGTTTTGATTGTGATCATTAACGGTAAAGGAACTGCAGCTCGTTTTCCCATTGTGTTCTTATGGGTGCTGTTGTTGAAGGCTTGACAGCCCTGAGCAGGTAGAACACCAGAGGGCGGCACGAAAACTGAATCTGAACTGAGATGTCTCCCCCAGGAGCCCTGAGGCTGGCCGCCTGCATGACCTCCAGTCTGCTGGTAAAGATGGCCACAGAACCATAGAAGAGCAGGTAACAGCACGGTAGAGGCAGCATGATGTAGGAGCAGGAAAACCGGGTCAGATATCATCATACATGACCAAGTCAAATGAGTTAAATTTGGGACTGTAGATTCAAGCTAAGTGGTTCTGACCCGTTCAGAGCAGCCGTTGGTATCAAAACGTAGTCTTTTGTTAGATCCTGCAAAGAGAACAAGTGTAAATCTTTCCCAGCATCCTCCTCTGACCTCTGACCTCTGTGCTGTGGTTGCAGATAGCAGCGATCCTGTGGAGCCTGACACGGTAAAGGAAAGGAGCCAAAGCAGCAAGTGAAGGCGGCGTTCCTGAATGACGGCAGCTCTCCTGTTTGCAGGTGGGACGGGACGTCCTGCTGGTGGCGCTCTTCCTCACCGGGAACCTGTCCTTCCTCATCGCCCTGCTGGCTGGAATAGGACAGGCGGCGTCTCCCTAGGCTCTGCTCAGCTCTCACTCTGAGTTCGTTCTGTTCCTCACATGTTCAGCCGTGATGCAGAGATGAGTCCGTTATGATGCAGCTGAGGATGAGTTACATGTTTGTTCTACAGTGGAGAAACTTCAGCGCATTAAAGATTGAGTTAGTGACCAGCTGTTGGTTTATGCAGCCAAATATCAGAAAATAAAGAAAAACAACCCAAAATCACGTCTGCTTCACTTTCCACATGTCAAACAAATCCTTGATTCTGATGTTTTTATGACCATCGACTGGACGTGGTTCTGATCCAGGTTCTGGTTCTGATCCAGGTTCTGATCCGACGGCTCGTCTAGAATCTCTTGAGGCAATGGAGCAACGATTCATCATGAACGAAGAACATTACACCGTGTTCCAAATTATTATGCAAACTGGATTAAAGTGTCATAAAGACACATTTTTGTTGTGCTATTAAATGTATGGATGGTTTTGTGTGTCTTTGAATCACTATAATTACTTTCAGAGAGCTGCTTGATCACTTTAGCTCAGTCAAAGTAAATCTACTTCAGAAGGATGTTCCACATTATTCATCAGGATTCCAGCAACATGGGAGGAGAAAGAATCTGCTGATGAAACCATCAGAGAGTGTAGAGCCGCATGACAAGCTATGAAAACGAGATATTGAACACTGAAGCGTTTTCATCGTACTGGGAAGAGATTTGTGGCTGATTGAGAACAAAGATGGTTTACAGATAAAGACTAAAGAGGAAAGTTTCTGTTCAGTTCCTGGGATCAAAAGATCAGCTGCTGAAATGACCTTAAAGCAGCAAACAGTTAATAGCCTCAAGGTGGAGGATCCACAGGGGCCCAACCTGCTACTGGGCCCCAACCTGCTACTGGGCCCCAACCTGCTACTGGGCCCCCAACCTGCTACTGGGGCCCCAACCTGCTACTGGGGCCCCAACCTGCTACTGGGCCCCTAATCTGCTACTGGGGCCCAACCTGCTACTGGGCCCCAACCTGCTACTGGGCCCCAACCTGCTACTGGGCCCCCAACCTGCTACTGGGGCCCCAACCTGCTACTGGGCCCCAACCTGCTACTGGGCCCCCAACCTGCTACTGGGGCCCAACCTGCTACTGGGCCTTTAACCCCAGTTTATTTTACCCTAACCCTAGTGTTTTAGCCTAAGTTTGTGTTATTTTGAAAAACAGAAAGGGGAAAAGGAAAAAGGACGGTGTTTAACGACATTAAAGGAAAAAAAAGTCAAAGAAAAAAATGCCTGAAGAAGACAAAGAAATGTTGAAACGTCGCAAAATAAACCACAAAGAAAAGCAAAGAAAAAGCAAAGGGTGAAAAATAAAGACAAGTATAATTCTAATTAGCTGAACAAAGGAAAGTGAAAATAAAGGGGGTGCCAAAAACTAAGTTTAGTTGGTCTTTAGTTTCATTTTATTTTGGACACGGGTCTGGAAGGCAGGGTGGAGTGTGCACTTCCAACCCTCCGGCTGGGGGTTGGCCCAGTCCCCTACCCTAACCCTAATCTGAACCCCCTAATCCTAATCTGAATCCCCTAACCCTAATCTGAACCCCCTAACCCTAATCTGAACCACTCCATTATTATTTTATTCAGACCTGCGCGCTCTCTTTCTGCCGTTCACCACCTTTCCGTTTCAAACCCTTTCAAAATACTTTCTTTAATCCCCAAATACATTAGTGTGTGTGGCAGAATGTGCCTTGAAATACTGAGCACAACGACACTTTATAAAGTTCGGTCCATTTACTTGTTTTATTTTACTGGCAGATAAACCACAGTCAATATGGCGGGTGCTGTGACGTATCGCAGCAACGGGCCGACCCGTTCCTGACGTCATGTCTCCGCTGCTCCTCTGAAAGTTCCAATAATTATCTTTCTCTGCTGTTTTGGTATTGCGTTCCTAATTATGTATTTAACAAAATAGGTGGTTTAAAACTTGTACTTCTAGCTGATTTCAATATCCATAAATTGCCAATCAAACTGTCTGAGTTCCATAAACAAGTATTACTATATTGGAAAATGTTATATGTACATAACTATATACACTCCTATATCATCTGGAATAACAGATTTATATTACATCGTAATAAATCCTTATTTTACGAAGAATGGATGGAGAAAAATATTTGGTCTATAATGCATTTAATGGATGCTAATGGTTGCTTATTAAATTATGATCAACTATGTGCAAAATATCAATTTTCTCCCCCAAAAGCGGAATATACCAAATTATTTAATGCCTTCCCGGAACAATTTGTGAGTCAGGTAAAGAATTTGATAACTAATAATCCGACGCCCCGACAACTACCCAATTTATTTATTAATGGAATTTTACTCACTGACAAAAAACTCAATAACCATGTAATTAGAAACTGTCTAATCGAAACTTTATTCCGTGGGAGAATAAATAGGAATAACATTTTATGCAAATTCGATAATAAATCAGTCGAAAAACTGAGAACCCTCTATCTCAAACTCCCTGTTCAACCAAAAGCTAAGGAAACACATTTTAAAATTTTAAACGCAATTCACCCTTCAAAAGACTTGTTAAAGATTCGATTTAATATCGATGACGAGAAATGCTCCTTCTGTGAACAAGATATCGAAACGATGGACCATATCTTCTATGACTGCAACCATAGCAGAACTTTTTGGTCTTTTTGGTTTTTCATAATAACTCATTTAAATGTTCGTCTGTATCAGTTTGATCCTAATTTGTTTCAGTTGAAGGTAAATAAGAACATAAAGACTTTGGGCTGAATCAAAATAATGATAATAATAATTATCTTTCTCTGCCCCACGTGCAAATAAAAACCCGGAAGCTCCAACCACGTGACTGAATTGCCATGGCAACGGCCTCTGGTGGAGTCTGTTTCTAATAAAAACACCAGATCGTGTTTAAAAGCCAGTCGAGCTCTGAGCTTCTGCCTGGTTCAACAAGGTTCAGTGAGGTTCGGTGACATGAAGACAGGAAGTGGAGGTGAATTTCGTTCCGGTTCAAATCTCAGCCCGGTTCAAACGTTCTATGGCTTTTATTTTGACAGTCTGGCTCTTATGTTCGCTCTTGAGTTGTTGAATGATATTATTTTGAAATCCCCGACGGAAATATGTTAGAAACACTTCCGCTAGCGTTGCGCCGGTCCCAAAAACTGCAGCCCAGATCGGTGCGGATAATCCGGCTCCAGCGGGCCGGAAAGCCGCCGAAATGAGCCCGAGGAGCAGCTAGCGAACCCCGGGAGACCCGCGGACCCCGGGAAGGTAACCTTCCGCTAAATGTCCCGGTTCGCCCCGTTTTCAGAGCTCCACACGCTGCCCAGCATGCTAACTGGAGCTAGCCCAGCATGCTAACTGGAGCTAGCCCAGCATGCTAACTGGAGCTAGCATGTGCTACCTGCATCAGCGCCAACAGTCCCGACCAGATCCAGAACCTGCTGGTTCTGTCTGCAGGACCGGACACACCTGGACTCTCCTCCCTTTACCTCAAGCCAGGTGTCGGGTCACGTTGCTGTCCATCTTAAATCTGATCACATGACCAGAACCCACCCTTCAGGTTCCGTGACCTTGCTGATGATCCGCTCCCCCATTGGGCCTGCAGTTCAACCAGCCTGGTTTCCATGGAACCGGTCCAGCCTCACAAGAATAGGCGGAGGAGGTTCTGGTCCAGTAGGGTTCTGGTTCTGGACCGTTCTGCTGTTTTCTCTGTCTTTAGACCAATCAGGCTGCAGTGTTTCTCCTGGCCTCTGATTGGCTCCGTCTGATATCTGATCATTTTTGTAATTTCTTTCCTCCATGTCCAGAACCGGCCCAGTTCGTCAGGTTTTGAACCAGTTTCCTCTGATTGGAAAATGATCACAAATCAAAGATGCTGCAGGTTTTCTCTGAGTTATCCTCTCTTTCTCTCTCTCTCTCCAGGCTTTGCTATGCTCTCTCGCCCGCTGACAGAGACCCATGGCGGGGGGCGTGGCCCGACAGGAGAAGCCCTGCCCACTGATCTCCCATTGGTCGATGCAGATGAGGCTCCTGCAGGTGGTTTTGTCTCTTTGTTGGTTTGTGTCTGTGGGTAAAGCTGCTAACTCCAGCTCTTCACCTGCAGGAGGCCCCGCCCCACCAGCAACTCCCTGCTGCTCCTGCGCCTCCCTCTTGCCCCGCCTCCTGGCGGCTCACCGCATGGAGGTGCGGCGCCTCCTTCGAGGAGCTTTATCGTCGCTCGGCCGCCGTATGGACTCTCTGGAGAGGAAGAGGAGGAAGAGGAGGAAGGACGGAGGAAGAGGAGGTGGGTCCATTTCCTGCGACTGAAGAGGTTAATGGGGCAGTTTATCGTGATAAAGTTCTTCTACCGTTACGATAAATGCAGATTAAGGATTTAAACCCTAAAACTGCCTGTGTTATTAGTTTATTCACCCTTATAGATGCGTTGATAAATTTGAAAATGATTTAATGCAGTTATTTACTGATTCAAATCACACAGTTCTATGACTGCTGGCCTAAGGCCTCAATACACCTGGAGATGTTCCAGGCGTTTGTAGGGCCCTGATTGGCTCTTGTTTGCTCTGGTAGGTTCTAATTGGTTCTGATTGGCGGCTGTGTCCTGCAGTCATAACAAATCAGAGACCTGAGAAAGGTCATGTGTCGATAATGAGTATTGTCACTGATCATTATCACAATTGTTGCACAGAATATGATTTAAAATGGATCCATCATGCCTTTAAATCCTTCCTTTTCACATGTGACTCATTCACCTCTGGTCTGTAGAAAGTAGAACTAAACTGCTTTGGTCCGAATTCCTCGTTTTCCTGAACTCAGGTGTTTTGCAGAAACCTTTTGTTTTTTAAAGGGATCCAGTATTAGTCGAACATGTTGGCTTATTATGTTGTATTTTTTTATAAACTAAAATATTAGTCTTTGTTATAATCCCTTCAAAAATGTACATGTTTTGTTATATTTTTCACCCATTTTTTCACTGATGGGTTGATGACGTCATCAGGTCCATTCTGTTCTGGAGTCAGGATTACTTTACCTGAGTTGGTGCAATTTTAGATAATGCCACACTGTTTGCTGTAATTTAAAAAGTAAAATAAAAGGTAAAAAAAATTGAAATGAATCTGGATAATTTCCCACATGAGAGAAAGGAGAGCGCAGTGCGAGAGCCGGAGTGGAACATAACGAAGGACCAAATCTGGACCTGGACGTTTCTCCACAACCCGTTGGGTCATTTATTCCAACAGAACCAACGAAGGTTCTGAGGTGATTGTTACTTTAACAAGCTAACAATAAATGGTGTGCTGCCGCTGAGACAAGCAGAGCTGGACACTAAATATGTCTCAAATAAGGTCTGTTGTCACTGCTAATCGTGGATCCCTTTACTTGTGAATGAGACATTTCCGCCCCCTTCAGGTCGCACAGCGGTCCTGCACCCCGTTTGGCCACGTTTGTAGTTTGATAGCAGAGCTATGACTGGCAGAGAAACTTTTTATTCCCACGTTTATTAAAGATGTGAACAAGGGAAGACTCGTCCATCCATCCGTCCATATTGGAGCCAGAGTCTGACCCAGAGCAGCAGAACGAAAACCTGCAGAACCGCGCAGTCACAGAAACGCATGACAGTGATGGTATTACTGGATTTACTCCTTCTGCATCCACACCAAATACCTGTTGCATATTTTAACTACAGTCCATGCATGTCAGATAACTATTCAAATATTAATGTCACCACAATATGAATCCATTAAACGAAGCCTCGACATAATGAAGGAGTTAGCTAACGGAACGTGAAGGACGTCACCCAATGCATTTGGGTCATTTTTGTTCCCCGAGACAAAAACAGCAAAAACTGATCATTCTGTCCAAAGCATGCAGAACAGCTGTATGCTCCAGGAGGCAGCTAGCAGCTAGCACACAGCGCTAACAGGAGGCCAGGATGTCATGTCTAAAACTAGCTTTGCTGTCACTGTAGCGCCATTAGCAGCTTAGCGCTTCGCTGTGCCTCGTTTCCATAGAGAAGGAAGTGACCCTCAATCAGACCAAGTCTTTCAGAAAATCCCTCCTGATATCCTGGAGGAGGTTCCTGAGAAAAGCGACAGAACCAGAAGAGGCTCTGTGGCCTCTGAGCGTTAATCCGCGCATTACTGAACGGTTCGACTCGCTGACCTGCATCCCTCACAAACTGAACTTGGACTACAAAATCACCGCCAGGGAACAAATGGCGATTCTGATTATCTGGAGGTCACGACCTTGTTCAGCGAGTGATGACGTCATAGACCAGAAAAGGTTGCAGGCAACAGAGAAACATGACCAGACTGACAAATATAACCCAGAATATTAAGAAATGTTCGCAGCACCAGGTTTTTTTTGTACTCTAGACACTCAAAGTTCACAAAAAGTAAGATTGAAAAAAGTGAATTTTGTATATATTCCTTTAACTTTAAGTGCATTTGGCCCTGCTGGTACAGCTGCAGCAGGCCTGGAGCACAACTCACCTGAGCAGAATGGCTGCAGGTAAACCTGCTCAGCCTGGTGGGCGGGGCGCTGAGGCGGTACAATTTTCATAGTTATTGTTTTGTTACCATAAAAACAATCTGGTGCTGTCAATTTAATCTGAGTTTTAGCTGTTCATAAATACATCTTAGTAAACTCAGCCAATTAAACTAGGCCCTGTCTCTAGATTTCATTAAATGTATGTTGAAATGCTGTTAGTGGTGCTGATGGGGCCCTAAAATCCAAATCTGCTCAAGGCCTCATTCAGCATTGGACCGGCCCTGCATGATGCTAAATCTGCTGTACTGCACATGTGCTGGATGTAGAGGGACCAAGGGCAGATTTCATTTCTGGGGCTTTAGTAGCTCATCCATTTTGTCTGGAGTTTTTAAGAAGCTGCACAGAAACTGTCTGGATTGCCTAAGCTTTATGGGACGAGTTGTTTTGATCCCTGCGCTGCTGCGCAGCAGCTCTACCTGACGTTAAGTAGACAAAGCATTTCATATGCATTGTATTGCCGCAACACATAAAAAACAAACCAGCGTGCTGCACTCGTCACGAGGCGAGGGCGAAAGCTCCTCCATGGGCCGAACCACAACGCACCGGCTAACGGTGAGCTTTATCAGAGCAGAAACTGTTGAGATGTAAATGAACACGCTGCATATACACACACCCACACACTGTGTGGGTGTGTGTATATGTGTGGGTGTGTGTATATGTGTGTGTCTGTGTATATGTGTGTGTGTATATATGTGTGTGTCAGCAGAGCAAACAAGGTGGATTTAAGTTTGACTCCTACTTTGATCAATTCTTCACAGAAACAGGAATCCTCACAGAGGGTTGATAAGTGAGCCTATATGAGCGTAGAGGTTAACTCCAGTGATCAAGCCACGACGGCGAGCGAAGCAGCCAACGCTCAGAGGCTCCAGTGGTCTGATTGGTGCGCTCCCTGTTCAATGAATCCACTATAAAAACCATAAACCATCTTTCTTTCATAAATAATTCTGCCCTGCCAGGAAACGCTCACCACAGAAGAGACGCTTGCAGTCTGGCTTATTAAAACACACACATAACTATGCCTAGCCTGACAGGGGAGCATGTAGAGCCTGGCGGCCCGCCAGGCCTGGAATACACTGGGGGAGACTCTGCAGAGGAGGGGAGGAGCCAAGTGTCCAGAGGCTCCTCCCCCTTTATCATCTGCCTTAGCCACCTAAACTCACCTGCTTTCTTCCTCAGCAGGTCCTCCTGGTATCACCTGCAGCTCCTTCTCT